CCAAACGCGATCTATCGTGTGGCTCCTCCAGCTAAATCAAGAATCGTTAGTTACGTGACTAACACTCAAGATTCGAGCCACGTCGAGAATTCTCGGAGAATCAGAGCCGACGCTGTTCTTTGGCCAGGATGGGAGATTCTTGTGATCGTTTCACCGGAAGAGAAGGTCACACCGCCTCTTCCAATGGACGATTACACATGTTTTTACCCTAACGGAGAGAAAACTGCGGCGAAGTTCGCCGCTATTCTCCCTTTCACGAACCGTGCGGCGTTTGAATGCAGTCTTCCGGGAATATACCGTCACCACCATCCGATCCCGACTCCAATCCTCGCATCCTCGAAAACGTTCGTAATCTCGCCGGAAACACGGTGGCTTGATCTCCCATTATGGAATTTCGTTGTTTTCGAAGCGATCTCGACGGAAAACGACGTCGTTCTGTTAGTCAAAGGACCAAATCGCGGATTAGGATCAAACAAACCGCCAGAAGCGTTTCGTTGCGTGTTCGGGGAAGAATCAGACACCGCCGTTAGAACCCCCGTGACAAGCTCCGTGCAAGAAGTGTTCCGATGTCCATTCCCGAACACAACGATTGATACTCCGGTCAAAGTCTACCTCGAGGCGGTAGCAACCGCTAAAGAGCCGATGAAAATCGTCCCATCGGTCGCGTATTTTACACCGAAGGGCACGTTGGCGAAACCACGCGAGAAATCGCTACTATGCGCGACGACGATGGTGTTCAACGTAGCAAAGTATTTAAGAGAGTGGGTTATGTATCACGCGACGATAGGAATACAAAAATTCATCATATACGACAATGGAAGCGACGACGAGTTAAACGACGTCGTTGAGGTGCTCAAGAGAGAAAGATATGATGTTACGAAAGTTTTATGGATATGGCCTAAGACTCAAGAAGCTGGATTCTCTCACGCGGCGGTGTATGGTAACGACTCGTGCACTTGGATGATGTACCTTGACGTAGACGAGTTTCTATTCTCTCCGGTTTGGGTTAACCAATCTAAACCGTCGGATCAGATGATTAAGTCTCTTCTACCGTCGGATCAAAGCGGGATCGGACAGGTGTCGTTTAAATCTCTCGAGTTTGGACCGTCGAATCAGACGGTCCATCCACGTGGAGGTGTGACTCAAGGGTACACTTGTCGTCGAGAGGAAGAGCAGCGACACAAGTCGATTGTCCGGCTTAGCGCGGTGGAGCATTCGTTGTACACCGCAATACACCACTTTGGACTGCGGAAAGAGTACGAGTGGCGCGTTGCGGACACGGACGAGGGAGTGGTGAACCATTATAAGTATCAAGCGTGGCGTGAGTTCAAGGCCAAGTTTAGGCGGCGCGTGTCGGCCTATGTAGTGGATTGGACCAGAGTTTCTAACCCTAAGTCGAGAGATCGGACTCCTGGTCTAGGTTTTAGGCCTATTGAGCCGAAAGGGTGGGCACAAAAATTCTGTGAAGTTACGGATCTAAGACTGAAGAAGTTAACCAAGAAATGGTTCGCATATCCGGAGAAAAATGGGTATAGAATGGCATGGCAGACATGAACACGATGGGGTTATTGTGTAATCATAGCATAGTTTTTGGTAACACTTTTTTTGTAAACAGGATTTGAATATTTTTTATTCGGCGAAAGTACGGATACTATAAATACTTCGAAACGTAATTATAGATTTATCTAAATTTGGTAGTCGCATTTAAAATTGCCTAAATAAGTGATACGGTCTAAGAAGTTGCCTAAGCAACAAGTATGAGTGGTCGAGGTCGGCACATAGCACGTAAAGGCTTACGTAGAGCAAGGGGATGAGAAATATCATCAAGAGAAAGCAAGACTGAAACATCCTTTTTCTTCTTTGGATTTGTTCTTGAAAATTTCTATCAGTTCGCCGGTAAGATGATAGAAATCTTAAAGGAAAAAAAATGTTATGGCAGAAAAAAAATAGAATGATGTAAGTTGAAAAATTAAAGACCGGAATAAAGAGGTAGAATGAGTTTTTTTTTTTCACTAGTTTCTCTAGTATTTTGTAGAAGTATATTTTCCTCCATAAACTGTTCATATTTTTTTAACTTTTGTTAATGGAATGAGTTGAATCACTTTTTAAAAAATTTAAATCTAAATGGTAACAATTTAGAGGAATGTTCAATTCCACCAAATTTTGTTCCACTCAAATAGTAAAAATTTAGAGGAATTTTTAGTTTCACCAATTTTTTTTTTAATTGTGCAAACATTTGCACCCTAAGCATAAATGAAATTTTTTTTTTTTGGGGTTAGTAGAAAAAATAAGGCACGGGATCTTTAGTAAATAAAGGCTTTTTTAGTTTGCAATAATAGAGGCCGATTGGCCCCTTTTTTAGTGGATAAAACACATGCAAATCCACGTGGAGATGTGACGCAAGTTCATGGAAAATATATGCCACATAACGTAACGTAACGCAAGTATATTTTGTTTTCTTGTCCCTCTATTATTGTCTTTCTGTCCTTATAAATCAAACAGCATGCTTGATTTGAGCTCTCTTATTAATGTTTGTGTGGTTTAGGCTATAAATTTAGTTGGTTCTGAAGTATAATAGATTGTGTATACAAATTTTAGCCATAACCTTGAACCTTATGAATAAATCCGAATACAACAATTTCATTTATAAACTTGCGTTTATATCAAACGATATGAGACAATAATTGACTAATGAAGAAGACTAACCGATTATCTAAACACGATCAAAAAGGAAAATTTTCAAAAGAAAACGTGGAAAACAAATCCAAATATTATTATTAAAATACTTGAACCACCACGGGCGGCTAGTGGTTGCACTTGCAGGTTGATAATAATACACTTTAAAATAGGATTTTTTAATAAAATTTTCAGTTTTCATAAACAATGGGTTACAGAAAAACTTGAATATAGAGCTCCCAACTTGCTTGTTTTTTTTTTTTGAAACTAGCAACTTACTTGTTGAGTAGCTCAAAACATTACTTTGTCGTCTCAAAGAAACAGATTTTGAACTGAATTGAGACGATTAATATAGTACCAACGAAAAACATCGATGAAGAATCAGAACGTTTTTTGGAAAAATCGGAAACCTTAAAAAGCTAATCGACGCTAGAGCACAATGAAAAATGGGAGATTATTAAGGTTGATTTTTTTACTTGGAGTTGTTTTTTGTTTTTTTTTTAACATGTGAAAGGACAAATTTCAATGAAATGTTACGTGGTGAAGTGGTTGAAGATTGCATACCTAGAAGAAGTATCAATGAATTAGTAGAGCGGAAACTACTAGATGTGAATGCATAACCAAACTTGACTAGATTGGTCAAACTCCCAAATCCTTTAAGGATCTCTCAACACCACAAAACTTATTAGATTGGTCCACAAGCTCTCAATAATGAGTTCACCCAACATCACAACACTAGCGTACGCAATTACATAGTCAAAATTATTGGGGCATGCGATTCCGAAATGTGGTCCTGACAATGACCCAAATTTCCCACAAATTATGATAAAATTTGTTTTCTTCAATAACAACAATTTTAATTTCTTCGATAGCCGTATATTACAGAAGTTATTACTTATCAACCACATAAAATCGCAAATTTGTTTCAATCTATGAACATCTCGATAGAAGCAAGCGTGTGAAGTGCGATTGTTACTTGTTGCGCCTATTAGTATTAAGTATTAACACGTTTTCCACACAAATTTGTTATTCCCTCAGTTTTATAAAAGACTATCATTTTAATTAGAATTAATTTGTTGTTTCAAAAAGAATGTTATTCTATATTTTTAAAATAATTTTTGACACTTAATTTCTGTATTATCTTTTATTTAAAATTAATAAACTTTCTATTTAAATTATTCGTATATTCAATGGAGACATATATGTATATTTCCAAAAATCTTTAATCCACGTGAAATAAATTATAATAACACTCTTTATAAAACAAAAAAAGTATTAAAAACACGAAAATTTTCTACCTTTATGTTCCACTAGCTAGGTACTTATACCCACTTGTTGACCACACTTGCATTTTTTTTATGTTAGCACTGCTACTATGCTATAAAACTCCTTTGTTTTTATAAGTTTACTTTAAGGATTATACATAAACGACAGTTTTGTTAGTCAGAGATTTATAATATAAAAACAAGTAATTTCAAATATCTAGAAGTGAATACAAATTTTAGTTGTAGTATGGGTTTCGGATGAATTCAAAAGATGAACATTCTATATTCAAAAACAAATTGAAAAATCACAAACTTCCAAAATTTCCAACTACTCAAGAACAAAATTATAGTTTATCTAATTAAACAAGTATAGAATATTTTCTAATAATTAACATTATAATAATTAACTTTAACGCCACTTACTATCCTCCGCACGTTTTATTCTTCTTCTGGTCAACATAT